TTGTGGGTAGCATCTTCCATTTCTACATAGGTCTGTCTAGCCATAGCTTAAACAGAAGAACTATGTTTGACAGGTGAAAACAAACCCTATTATTTTTCCCTTATATGTGTCCAAACAATTCAATATAAATAAGATGTTACTCAGCAAAGGACTAATCCTTGCTGTTCCATGTACAGGTTGAGGTTTAAAAAGAAAATCAATTAATCACAAAAGCTTCCAAACAATGCAAACAGCATTAAGCACAGTAATTATAAGATAAGCATTCGAGCAATTTTCAGTTGATTGGGTGTGGGTGTACTGAAGTAAACCTACAGTTTGCCTGCTGGTACAAGAACGGCTTACATGCCAATTAGTGGTATTGCTACTAATTATTAAAAACATTTTTAGGATTAATTAAAAACTAAATGCACCTGTATGATGGCTCATAACTGTGTTGTGGAAATTGCTTAGATTTTCCATATCAATCACACAGGAAATGCTTAGTGTGATGGAGAAGCATTATGACTCCCATCATCTTTGGAAGCCACACAACAGATGAGCATTCCTTTCATGTGGAAGGGAGGCTCAGCTCAGATGTGGATCTTATACTAACAGGCATCTACAAATGAATGCTATGAGACAAAGCTAAGAAAAACAAGAGGTGAGGGCTCAGCCCTGTACTTCTGATGTTTGTTATGCCTGCCTTGCACAAAATACTACTGAGAAAACAAGACAGTTGATTCTTGCCTCCTCTGAGAACTTGCTCACACACACACACACACACACACACACACACACACACACACACACACACACCTTTTTTTTGAATCATGCTAGGAAGCCAGAACTACTGGTACCAGCCTGTAATTGCAGCACTTAGGAAGCTGAGGCAGGAGGATTGTCACAAACTGAGGACTAACCTGGACCACATACTAAGACTTTGTCTAACCTTCCTCCTGGAGGCAGGGGGCACTCCGCCCAAGGAGGAACAACCTCCTAGTTTCTAAAGGGGCCAAACCCTAATCGTACTCCAGTCTTACTCCCCTACAGCTCTCGGGGGAGTACTAATTCTAATGTTTTTAAAACATAAATTCTGAGGCCTGTACTTCTGTTTGCATTTTCAGATAAAGCTTATAATCCAGAGAAGCTGAGTGTCTCTGGAAGCACAAATCTAGCAAAGACCAGGGTAGCATTAACTCCAGGAATCTTGGATCTAGAGATTCCAACTGTTTAACTTAGAACATATTACCAATTTTACAGGTTGTTGATTGCTCTTCCATCATTTCCTCACTTTATTAACATTTGTTAGTATAGCTCACTCCTGTAGATAGCTTATATTTCCTTATAGTCCTTAAATATTTTCATATCATTATACATAATTAGAAGCATAAATTTGCCTACTATTCCACAAATGATTCTCTTCCATACTGGACACAAATGTTGCAAGTCTAAGTGATATTGCCCAGGAAGAGGACAGCAAATGGCTGAGTCCAAAGACAGTACTCAAGAGAGGGGACTTGAGCAACTTCTGCAACCTCATGCTAACACGAAGCACATAATGCAGTCATGACCGAAGCTGGTAGGTGCCATGCACAGAAAATCAAAGGGAATGACCACTCTTCTTGTATGACCCTATCTGTTTTTATTTTGTTTTGTTTTGTTTTTGTTATATTTTGTTCTTCTTTATAAGCCTGTCACTCCCGTTTCCCAATGATGCCTCACTGGTCTAAAGTCATTGATAATGCTGAGTTAGTTTTTCTCTCTCTAAAGTCTCTTATCTTTTCTAGAGACCAAGCAGTTTGTGGGTCACCATACTTTTACTTACAGTCTTAGTAACCATGCACAGTCAAAGTAAAGAAGATTGGTTCCAAATGACTGCACAGGCTACTGCCATGTACAGCGGAGGTGAGGACTCAATCCACAATGACAAAAGAGAGAAGGTCGAAAATACTCGGGGTCTTTCTATCAGACACACAAGGACTTGAGCTCTGCTTCAGCTACATTTGTGCTATGAGACATTCCCTTACTCATCTGTGAAAGACAGAGGGTATTTAATGTCATACTCTCTGTGTCTCTCTCTCTGTGTCTCTGTCTCTGTCTGCCTGTCTCTGTCTGTCTGTCTGTCTGTCTGTCTCTCTCTCTCTCTCTCTCTCTCTCACACACACACACACACACACACACACACACACACATCAAGGTGCTCATATTTTTTCTTTACTAGAAGTTCTACCACCTGCCAATTCATACCTCAGCTGCCAACCCCCTTACCCAAGAGCAAAAAAGAATTGTGCTTTCATTCCAACATATAATTGGCAGAACCTTATTCCATTTCGGCTTCTCTTTTTTGTTCATTCTGCAAAAATCAATGTGGCCTCTCTCAGATTTTCTCTCTCCAACAGATTGGATTGTGTGAAGTTCCTGATAAAGAGGAACTCAGGTTCAGAGGTAACCTGAAAGCTAGGGAGATGCAAGGAGATAGCAAACATGGGAGGAGAAGAAAAAACTGAGGGGAAAAAGTACGTGGAGAAAGCATGAGTGGACAGCAGAAGGCGGAGTTAAGACATCCTTCCCGGCAGGGTGAGAGAGCAGACCACCGGGGCCTGTTTACCAGATACTCATTTCCAAGATGAATAACGCTTCAGTCTTCTTTTTCTTGAGGATATTAAGAATTCAATAAAATGAATGCACTGATTCTAATTATAAATAGCAATTAAAATAAACTTGGGGAACCAGGTAGTTTGCACAACACTCTAGACGCATTCTACATTACCCAGTGGCTCTGTGGACCCCTGGCATTGGGTCCAGCTACAGTACAGGGATAGATGGTGGCCTCACTTGATCGGGGTTATTTTATTACCAAGTTAACTGGTGTTAAACTAGTGAGCATTTAACAGTCACTAAAACAATTTAGAGTTCAATTCAGCACAGTATCATTTTTTAAAAGATGGTCAAAGTGAGGGAATCGATTCCTCCACTGTTGCTGTGACGTGCTGGAGGCTCCGAAGCTTTTCCAGCCCACAGCAATGAAACTTGCACCAGCAAAGTGGGCCTCTTGCCTTGTAAGAAAGAAATAATCTTGAAAACTCTGTATCCTGCTGTATAGTCTATGGCAGTAAACCCATTTTAGCATCCCTTTTCACCAAATGAGAATTTACTTTTTTAGATTCCCAAATCATGAGCCAAATTAGTATAACCCATTCAATATGTCATGGAAGACCTCCACTGTAAAATTACTATGTTGAACTTCCAACTTTTTGTGTTAGAAAAATTTAAAAACACAACAAAACATAACATTTTTCCAACAGCAGACACACGATCAACTCCAAATTCAGGAAGATTTACAAATGCCAGAACATGGTTATCTCCCAGCAAACATACCATTTCTTTGTTTCATAGGACACCAAGGATGAATTATTCATGAGACCTGATTTCACATGCTTATTGTGTCTGGTGGCAAAGTCCCCGCCTGCTCAGCCTCAGGAAAGCTGGGGCCGCTCTGCTGCCGCCCAGGGCTTGGTGCCATCCAGGGACCAGCCATGTGCTCACGAGTTACTGGAGCAGGGCAGGCAGCTCCAGTGGCCTCAGCTGTGGAGGCAGCTGTTTGCCCACCGTCTGTGATGGCAGAAATGTGTGGTGGGCTTCTCCTGAACAGCATGCCCCTCCCCAACCACACATGTGCTAGCAGGCTCCCACTCACTCGCCCAAACAATTCCATGCTGGGAATCATACTCCACTATCGCCAAAGGAGAAAGAAGCCCTCACGATTTGGGGTCGAGAATGAGCAGTGCACCAGAGTGTAGAATAACCCCTTAATCTTATATGCAAAACTACTGGAGGAAAGTCTGTCGCCTCCTCCTCCTCGGAACGTAAACCTTTCTTGTCATTTCGGTATCAAAAGGTTTGTGCATGCATGAAATGCAAAATGATTTATTGTTTAGATATTGCTTTTATTTACTTGCTTAATGGGTTGATGGATGTGCTTGGGTCCTACATAAAACAGAGGCTCCTTCTTTCCGAAAGAAAAAAAAAATGAAATAGATTGCAACCAGGAGTCTCATCCCATAGTAAAGTCAGACCTTCCAAGCTGGCTTGTGTTTGTAATGAGTTCCTTTTGACTCTTGCCCTGCTGCCTGTCTTTGGCTATTCATTGGTACAAAATGCTACACCATAGACACTACATAAAGTGGCAGAGATGAAGGCGTCAGCTATCTGGGTATACCCTGGAGTTCCGAGCTCTCTAGCGTCAGTCGTAGGCAGTTCTCTGTGGAGTTCTGGCGTAGAACAGATTTGCCCATCTCCAACAACGGGAGTCATTATCGTTCCATGGTCTCCCTTCTCAACAGAGGGAGTTGCAGGGAGAGACATCGCCCACACTCTGGTTTCCTCTTGCGTGCCTCATATCATTTGTTTCTTTGGTAGACACTAGACTTACTTTCATTTTATAAGGACACACTACTCCTCAACTAGCATAGGTAATAAAATGAAATTCTCTAAAAACACAAAAGAGATGGCTGTAAGAGAACTTCCACAAACATTTTACTAGCATGCCTTGAATTTTATTTATTACTTCATTAGGAGTTCTAATATTTTGACTCAGTCTTGGTGAATAGGAGTCAAACTGGAGAGGGGGGATTTGTTTATAGAAAGTGGATGTTGAATCTGTGCAGAACTCTTACTGGATCAATGTTCCGTGCAAGCGACATTTACGTAGGCTCTCTGTAACCCCTTTTCCAAACAAACTCTAATTTGACATAATGCAGCAGAGAATGGCACCAGTCACCGGGCTTGCATCAGAAATGCATTTTATTTGGATTCAATTCAGACTTAACGAACTGGTTCCCGTAAATGCAGCAGATGGGAGTGAGGCAAATGGAAGCGAGCGTGTGTGGGGCCTCACGCCCAGCAGCCACTGCTGCTCCCCTGTACGCAAGCCTTTCCTGAGTTAGTTGGTTAGCTAGCTAGCGCATTGGTTAGGTGCATTCCAGCCGAAACTTGGATTATAATTCGCAGAATTCTCTTACCAGTCCACCAGACCGAGGCTTGAGAAGTAACAGTCAACAGACAAGCAACTAATATTCCTTCCTGCTCTCTCTGTCCTGCTGACTAATGTGGAGAACCCTGCTGCCAGAAGATGGTCCGTGGTTTATAAAGTTGCCAAAGCTATAGCCGGACCTTTTCTTCTGAAGGTCAGTTTCAAACGCTGGCTGTACTGTAAACAGAAGTCTCCGCGGAAGGCCACACGGTGCCCGGAGTGGTCTCTTAATACAAAATATCAATTTGATTTTCCTCAGGAGAGTCACTCTCCTTTTGCAATGCAAATATTTTCAAGTGTACTAAACACGTTTTAGCACCTCAACATAGGCACTAAAACTATTTGCATGCAAAATTACCCGGAGTAGGCAGACAGGCACAAGCTTATGGTAGCACCATATGTGCCCAAGAGTTGGAGCCAGGAAACAGCTAGTGCTGGACGCTATTTACAATTTAAATTTAATTTTACATTATTATTCAAATGAGCGTGTATATATGAGTCTCTATTAAAATTAATGCTTCACATGGAACAAAAATTTCACCTAAAATTATATTTGTAGTAGTACTGGACCTTTTGGTCCCCAGCTCTCTAGAGCATTCAAGAACCACAAAGCGTTCCTGTTTCTTCCTTTGAACTCTACCTGAATGGCAGAGTCAAGCTTGTCCTTTCAGAATGAAAAGCAAACCTCATCTTGATTGGAAAGCCAGAAATCAACACAAGCCCAGAGCAACCCGGAAACACTAGAGAGTGTAAACGATCGGAGAGAAACAGACGCTGCCTGACAATATCGCAGAACCTTGTCTACCTTTTCATTAAAACACAGGACGATCTCGTTCCCTTTGCCTTCCAAGAAGTTCCATGTGTTTTGTGAACAGTGACAGGCCTTTGGCTTGGTGTTTTGTTTGCAAATTGCAATGTGTTGTACTGTCCCCAGAAAGTGGCGCTTCTTTATATACTTGGAAACACCATCGGCCGCATCCCCTGTTCTGCGCAGCCCCATAAGGAGCCTTCCACCCTGGGCAGCAGCCGGGGGTGTGTCTCAGAAAACACAGCAAACAGACGGCGGCTTGCTTCACTGTCCCCGCAAGTCAGTTTCTATTTTAAGGCTGGGAAAGTGGCAAGTCTTTAATGTCGCTGTTTTAAATGCTGCACACTTTACCTTCATGTTCATTTTACGGGCAGAACTCCTGATGAATCTAAAGTCAGCTTTTCTCTTTCTCACCTGGGCGTCGGGACAGTGTATTCACCGAGGCCCTCTGAAGGTGGAGTGCCCATCATCCCTTCCAGGCTCTCCACCAGTCCTCCCCTTCCTGTTTACAGCCGGTGTGTGCATTATAAAAGTGGCAGTCAGATAAACACAAAACTTGAGGGAGCTGCTTGGAGATTGTTACTTTGAAATCTATTTTAACTGAAGTGTAAGCACGAAAAGTAAAAATATCTTTTAATACCGAGGCTGTTGTAATCCTTCATAGCCTGTGGCTAAGGAACTTAAATGGAATAGAAAAAATAGAATCAAAATCAAGGGACAACGTACTGTCAAATTCACCTAGAATCTTAACTCCAAAGCGATATTTACCCCCGGATTAAAGATGATCAACTTTACCTTAAACCTAGCACATATAAATGTTTCTTTTGAAAACTTCAAGCGTGTATCCAGGGCAAATGTCACTTTTGCTTTCTTTTTTACCCCCTTTTTTCTTACGAACCTTAGGAAGTTTCTTTCTTCCTGACTGGCAATCAGTCTTAGAAATGTTGAATCATTGCCTGGATGCATGAACTCAACTGTGTGCCGCGTTAATTTATAGCGGCCAACATTTCTATACATAAGCACTCTCAAAGGGGCTCACAGGAGAACTAGGGACCTTTGGTTCTGTGGGTTTAATGGGAATGGAAAATCTCCACGTTTACACATCTATTCTCACATATTAATATCATTACATTTAAACGGAGGTTTGATTTCAAACATTGAATTAATTAAGAATGGAACGTCTATGGCATTATGAAACCAAATCAAATGCCAACAGCGCCCTCTACTGACTACTGGAAGAAAGCATTTTGTCTATCAACGGGAAAGACATTTTCTGTTTATTTACTTAAGGACGCTTCCAGACACCAAATTAAATGTCTTAGAAAATACAAAATCTCTTGGTAAACCTGAAGGAAAAAGCGAAGAATTTTATAAATAGAACTCAGCAGTCATGTGCATGTTCCACTATCAATAAAAATTTCCTGTACCACTAACAAATTGTGAGCCTTCTAGCTTGGCAGTCCTTATTACAGAGTCAGGGCAAAAGATAAAACACAATTAGAGTTGGATTAACATTTGCATTTTCTACCACCAGTCACAAATATCAAACTTGGATTCTGAAAGGTGAGAGGTCTTAATGGAAGTTTCAAATTTTTACATTATACTTCTATGCTTCTTCTTGTGTTCAAAATAAATTAAAGCTTTCTTTATGGTTATTTCTTTTTAGGAATCATAGATCATTTCTAATTCTCACACAACTTTGAGGCAAAGATACACTGGGTTCTTTTAGTGAAGTGCTACCATTTGCTGCAACATACATTTTAATTAGAGTAATCAAAAAATGAAAAATAAAATATATTTTCCTGCCGAAGTCCTTGCTCTAGACTTCATGGAGACTGTCATCCTCTACATCTGCAAGGAATCTAATTGGTTTCACTCCATAGGAGGTGCCTCTGCCTCAAATGTCCAATGCACTGCAAGACTGGTCTCATTTTTATGAAGCCATGTTCCCTGTTCCAAAGAACTCCAGAGCAGCACACTCAGATGTTCTCAAATCTCACTCATTCCAACAAGTGAGACCTGACAAGCTTTATATGATAGGCAGGTGTGAGAGACGCTGGAATTTTGGTGTGAAGACACCTGAAAGCAAAGCTTTTCCTCCTACAGAGGAAAAAGCAAAGCAACCCTTGCTCTGTGGATAATCTGGCACCTCAGCACAGGCTTTCTCCAACACTCCTCACTTTACTGGGTGAACTTTGTAAATAAACCTCTAGGTTTTTGTGGATTACTAAGTTAGAAGCATTCTTTCACTCTTGCTTCTTCTCTTTCCATTAATTCCTCACCTTGATACATGTACACACACACACACACACACACACACACACACACACACACACACACACGTTTCCTTCATCTTCTGTTAAATCACCACCCTTCATTAGTAAACCAGTTTCCCTAATTTAGGCAATCACACTGATTGGCTAACACATCCATAGTTGGTATCAAAGCTACAGAGACTGTTTTTCATGGCAGGTCCCTCCGCTTAACAGTATAACTGCTATTGATTGCAGCACATTCTTCCATCTGATTTTTGAGGGATTTTCATATTCCACTGATTTCCTCAAATCTCTAATTCTCTTTTCCTAAAGTTGAATTTTTGAAACATCAAGGTGAAAATTGGGGCTTAGAGGCAAATTTGCCTCCTAGAGTCTAAGGTCTTCTCTGTTGTTTCTAAACCATGTGACCTAAGTCAGTTCACTCAAACTTGCTTATCCTCAATTTCTTCTTCCACAGAAAGAGGATAAAAATACCTTTCTACTAGATAGGGTGGTTCACTGAGATTACCATGAGGTGAGCTGTATAATATATTCTAACAGAATGTCTGGTACATAAGAAACAACCTTTGCTATTTCTGTATGCATAATAAACAAGAAAACATTCTTATGTAAATGAATTAATGTAGCTTCTGAATCCATGTGCATCGTCGTCATCCTAGGGAGTTTGGAAATGGAAAAGGGAATCTGAATTAAGGGCTCAGATTTGATGGTTGAGGCAGACACATATCCAAACAAAGAACTTTTCATTTGGTGCAGGTATTCAGTGAGCAGAAGCAGAGGTTGTCCTTCCATGGGTTCTCTGTAGGGAACTTCTTCTGGACAAAATGTGGAGGAAGGACAGTAGCTAATAAGTCAACTCCCGAAGCGGAAAAATGTTACTCTAGCCTTGCCTGGTAGAGGGGCTGCCAGCTTGTAGCTTTGAATCAGTTCAACTATCTGAGCTTCATAGCCCCAGCCTATGAAGGGAATTGTAATGAGTCTTTTTCTGTCCTGCTAGACAGCTGCCAAATAGTGACACAGAGACTTCTTATTCATTATGAAAGCTTTGCCTATAACTTAGTCTTATTCCTAACTAGCTCTTATAACTTAAATTAATCCATTTATGTTAATCTATGTTCAATCATGTGGCTTTACCTCTCTTCCATCTTGCACCTCCTGTTTCCTCTCTGTGTCTCCTGGCATCTCCCATGCACCTAGATTCTCTTCCTCCTCTTTCTCTCTCTGGAAATCCCACTAATGCCTCATGCCTAGCTATTAGTCATTCAGCTTTTTATTACACTAATCACAGCAATACAACTTCACGTGCTGTACAAATATCTCACAACATTTCCCATTTTTTATTTAAATAAAAAGGAAAGGTTTTAACTCTAACATAGTAAAACTGTATACAGTAAGAACAATTATCAAGTAAGAATTACATTCACAATGTTTACTCCATATGTATTTGGCAAATTTGGAGAAAGTGTTGTATTATCTATCCTATATTAGTGAATCCAAAGTTTTACACCTAAACCATTTTCTATCATAACTTGTATTACCACCCTAAAAGTATCTTTTTAGAACCCAAAACATTGTAGGTAAACATAAACTTTTATGTTTCTTAACTTTATAAATTCCATATCTTTTGTAAGTTTTTTCAGAATTTGGCAACAAGGAAAACTGTATGCTATCTAGTCTTCAATCCCTATCAGAGACCCAAGAATGATATAATATTACCTGAGTAAACAGGGAACACAAAGCAAGCAACTTCTAAAACTATAGAAATGACAGAGATATCTGGTTGCCTGTACAATCACTTCAATGTTGGGGCATCCATCTTTGGCATACAAGCCTAGAATATCTGATTTTTCTGTGTAGCAGGAATTTTTAAGGACTGTCCTACCTTGTCTTTGCAAAGTTTAGCAGTCACATTCTTTTGTGCCCTGCTTGTCCAATTTGGACAGCATACTGTCAGCAGTCAAGGCAAGGACAGTTTCTTGCCCAAATAACTAGCTTTGCCACCTTGAAAGCAAACTCCGTATGGAGGTTCCTCAATGCCCATCATTCTTTTTGAGGCATGTTGGTGCTGCCAAGAGCAGACGTGTCTCACTGTCATGAAGAGCCTTCTGTTATTAAAACATTTTAAATGTCATCTTCTGTAGGTCTTTAAAGTGTTTGACAACCATCTATCTATTTAAAAATATGTCTCTGTTTGACCTTGAAGACACACCTATCATGACTATAAGTTTG